GAGCCTGGAGCATCGTCCGGGAGGCTGGAGCATCGTCCGGGAGGCTGGAGCATCGTCCGGGAGGCTGGAGCATCGTCCGGGAGGCTGGAGCATCGTCCGGGAGGCTGGAGCATCGTCCGGGAGGCTGGAGCATCGTCCGGGAGGCTGGAGCATCGTCCGGGAGGCTGGAGCATCGTCCGGGAGGCTGGAGCATCGTCCGGGAGGCTGGAGCATCGTCCGGGAGGCTGGAGCATCGTCCGGGAGGCTGGAGCATCGTCCTGGAGGCTGGAGCATCGTCCAGGAGGCTGGAGCATCGTCCTGGAGGCTGGAGCATCGTCCGGGAGGCTGGAGCATCGTCCGGGAGGCTGGAGCATCGTCCGGGAGGCTGGAGCATCGTCCGGGAGGCTGGAGCATCGTCCGGGAGGCTGGAGCATCGTCCGGGAGGCTGGAGCATCGTCCGGGAGGCTGGAGCATTGTCCGGGAGGCTGGAGCATCGTCCGGGAGGCTGGAGCATCGTCCGGGAGGCTGGAGCATCGTCCAGGAGCCTGTTTGCCTCACAAGTTGAATTTGCACACTTCTTACAAATGTATTTATGAATACCAATACAATTAATTATATTTTGTTCAACTTCATTGCATTTGTAGAAAGTAAAACAAGTTTTCCACAATTTATGAACATTTTGTAACCTTTCAAAGATAACATGGATGCCTACAATACAGAATTAAAATGTTCAGAACAAACTGAAGATGGTTCAGTAGTATAGCCTAATATTGTATATTTCTGCTGACTGGAATCTATGTTGATGCAAATTAACCCGCCTCCCAAACTTTGTGCGCATAATAGACAGAATAATACTTACAGAAACATGGTTGGCGATATTATGAGACCATCCATGGATGTCCATCAATCGATATAAAGAACCCAGCTTACAACGTATTATTTTCTCCCCCTTGGTGTAACTTTGTGAATTTAAGCCACGGATATCAGCTACAGGCATAATGGCGGAGTAACCTAGGTAACAGAAAACAATGGAGAAAATAATGTTACGTGACTAGTAACGTCAGTGTAATGAATCTTGGGAGAAACAAGTTTTTTTTGTGCAAGACATTTGATTTAGTCTAAAGAATAATCTTTGTGCTCAGTGTTCTCCCCAGGCCTCTGAAGCGACACGGTACCGTGACGCTTGGACACTCGGCCGTGATGCTTGCCCTTTGTCCGTGACGCTTGGTCACTGGCCCGTGATGCTTATTGCTTTGTTTACAAGTGTCAGTCTCGTCTTGCACGAATTTAAAACAATAACATGTATTGATCGAAAGGTAATCCCGCTTTTGTTAGCCATACAAAGACAGTGATAAAAACGGAAGTCTGCAATAAGTTGCGAAGTCTTTCAAGGATGCAGAGCCGGGGTGCAGAGCCTCCAAATCCAAACAAAAATACTAGAGTAGCAATAATTTGCCCATTGCACGCAACGGCAACAATGTGACAAAACAAGTCACGGCGTACGATATCTCGCCGACTTTATAAATTTAACCAAAAGATGTTTTCCCCCGACGTTATATGAACTGACAGTGAGTGACATGGGCACTAAAACTTGTACACAATGATGAACCAGTTACATCCATGGATAACATTATATTCACTGACTAGCTATAACACAAATTTTTTCAATTTGTTTTCCTTTTTATGCTGTTCTATTTCAAACTTTATTTGGACTTGATACAAAAACATAAAATACAATGCAGTAAAATGATATAAAATTTATCAAATATAAAAATATCTTGTCTTAATTGTATTAATTAATTGTATTAGTAGATTGACCAAATTGGTTTGGGAAAAACTGATTACTAGTATTATGCAAAT